CCTATGTGACACTAGTACTACCAAATCTGTGAAGAGTTTACAAGGCATCAATTCCTCAAGCAGCTGCCTGGCAGTTATTTTTCCCAGGTAGAGGTAACATGATACTCTAAAAGAGAGTTCAGGCCAAAAAAAAATTAAATAGAGAAAAATTAAATGAAGCAATAAAGCAAATCAATGACTCCATTCCCATATAGTGAATTATAAGAGGCTTGAGGGACACAACAAGATGTTCCATTTGCCACCTGTTTTATTGTTTATTACCATTCTTATTTTATGCTGAAATGTGAAGCCTTTTGCTGTTGCTATTTGCTGACCTTGTAGAGTCAGTGCAACAGTAAGAAACTCATGGAAGGTGCAGCAATACAGCAAGGGCCCTCTACCTGGATATTTAATAACACAGTAGAGACTTTTCCCTAGACTGCCCAGATTTTTAGAGGCATGGCAAGGATGTTCTACCTGGATGTATCTGGCAGTATTTGGCAACTGGGCTGGAGCTATGGCATGATGCCTTCTGGCAAGGGAATTCAAGCATTTTAATTTTGGCTAACGATATACCTATAAAAGTCATTTGCTTTCCAGAAACAAAGCACATTAAGCAAGAGAGACAAAGGGGCTTGATTGCTTTATTTTGACTGCTTTTTATTTTCTTTAGTGCAGAACTAACGCTTCTCATTTTGGATTCATTCTCTGTCGGGTCTTCTGCTCTCTGTCAGCAAGTCTTGATATATTTTGTGCAGTGGAAATATTAACGTGCTTAAATCAAATCCAGCTATTCCTGCAGGATGGTAAAGTGCTGCTCTTATCTGTTCAGCGAATAGGATACTCTTTTAGCCACACCTCTCAAAGTGTCACTCTCTTTGAATGTAGAAATGCTGATGTTTTGTAACTTGGAATGAAAAAATTCCCTTCGTGTTTTAAAAAAATGGTCACACTGATTCATAAATTCCTCTAAATTAGAAATGGAGACAATCCCATTCACTCCCAACTACCCCATCCTTTGGCCTGTTCAAGGTTGTTCCCCACAATATATTGGTCTAGTGCAGGGGTAGGCAAGCTGATTTTCAGTGGCACTCACACTGCTCGGGTCCTGGCCACCGGTCCGGGGGTCTCTACATTTTAATTTAATTTTAAATGAAGCTTCTTAAACATTTTAAAAACCTTATTTACTTTACATACAACAATAGTTTAGTTATATATTATAGACTTATAGAAAGAGACCTTCTAAAAACATTAAAATGTATTACTGGCACGCGAAACCTTAAATTAGAATCAATAAATGAAGACTCGGCACACCACTTCTGAAAGGTTGCCGACCCCTGATCAAGTGACTCTAGTCCAGGGGTCTCAAACTCAGTTTACCTTAGGCCAGTGCCAGACCTCAAATCCTCCCAGCAGGCCAATAATATCACTGAAGATGGTGTTCAGAAAAGAAAACGTTTATATTGTATTTTTTATTTTGAATTTCTTAGAAATAATAAAACTGTCATACAACTTTATACAATTCTTCGCTTGCCAGAGAGTTTTTAGTGTTTGCCAGACACCTGGCAAAGCTTCAGTTCTGTCAGTTTGTTGATGTTTGGCCTCAGTGACTGAGCAGCTGAAACCTTCAGGATTGCAGCAAGGTGTGCATCAGATAGTTGTGTTCGGTATTTTGACTTGTTTATATTCATTGTGGAAAAAAGTGACACTACCTCCATGGCTGACTCTGCCTGGCAACTAATGATGCTGCCTCCATGGCTAACTCTGCCCTGTGAGTAGTGATGGTATCTCTATCCGTCTCCCCCAGCCAACGGGAGCTGCGGGGGGCGGCGCCTGCAGCAGACATTGCTGGCAGCGTGGCTGCATGCATCTCTCCTCCACGGGCCACAGATGGCCCGTGGGCCGGGACTTTGAGACCCCTGCTCTAGTCTAATTGTAAATGGCCCATGTATTGGAGCTTCCACACCACTTCCCTTGGGAGTCTATTCTACAGGCTAGCACATCCAGTTCTCAGGAAGCTTTTCCTGATATTTATCCTACCTTATCTTTTTCTTAATATTATCCCCCTCCACTTAGTTATAACCATAGAGCCCAAGCTAAATAATTTCTCTCCCTGGCCCATGTTTACATTCTTCAAATATTTGTAGACAGTGATAATATTCCCCCACCCTTTAGTCCTTATTAGCCAAGCTACGCCTGTTTAGCTCTCCTCATCAGTGTAATTCTTCCAGCCCTTAAACAATATTTATTCTTCTCTGAACTCCCTCCAGTTTAGCAACTGAACACTGTATTTAATTTGATTTCAGAGTAGGATAAAGACGGCCTATTGCCTCCCAGCTCCATGATGTGATCTCTTTACAGAGGACCGGAATCAAATACTAATTTGCTCTGGTTTCCTCCTAAAATAAAATAATCAAGTCACTTAAAGTTATAAAACTACCATTTTTTAAAAATAATTTTGGCTGCATTTTTAGGCTCCTGTATCACAAAAGCAGCTTTGTTTTTAAAAAGTCCTGCTTATACCCTGTGGGAAAACTCTGACAGATGTTCTTTTTAGTGGGAGTGCTGCCTGTATTTCTTTCATATGAAATCAGGATCTCTGTTCGTCTGCCACTCACCACCCACTTGAAGTCCTAATCCTCTGTGGTATCACAGTTGGTTTCTGCAAGGCTGTGATACCACAAAGGATGGATTATGACCTTAGATGGGAAATAAGTCTCAGGACCAGGTGAGCTCATAAGAAATAAAGACCCTGTTTGAGTGTAAATGTCACCAGTCATAAAAGAAGCAAGAAATTCTATGTCCAAGATTACTGGAAAATTGTAAGCCTCTTCCCTACATCTTTATACTCCCCTTGCTCTTTCTCCAAGCAGCTATATGCTTGCTGGCTGGCCACTGAGGAGAGAAGCTACTTGTAGAGAGGTTTAGCAGTGTGGGACTGGGGACTAGAGAGCAGAAGGCCAGTTCCCACAGAGGTCAGTTTTGTACTTGGTAATTTAAAAAAAAAATGCTTTGGAGCTGGTTTGGGGGAAGGGTGTGGAAGTGAAAGTCACTCTTTCCCCCAAAATCCATGTATAGACCTGGGGCGGAAGCTTATTGAGGGAGCATGCAGGATCTACCACCCCTCCCAGGAGCAGGAACTGTGGTTAGGATTTGTATAAGAGTTCCATCTTATGTGCAAAGCTAAGACTAAGACCTGGTTGAATGTGCAGGGTGAGGAGGAAATCTCCTGATAAACTGAGATAGTGACTCTTTCTTTTATAAAGCACTTCAAGATATACGGAAGAAAAACATTGTATCGTTATTATTATTATAGTTTTATTATTAAACTGGGATCTGAAAAGCTAGTTGGATTCTTTCTTCTTCATACACAATCACCAGTGATCATGATGATAATGCTATAACGTGTTCCATATGTAGATCTCAAAGTATTTTATTTTACAAGGTTGGGTAAGTGTCATTATCTCTTTGTACCGATGGCGTAACGGAGGCCCAGAAATGTGAAGTGACCCAGGGTCACATAGTCGCACAGCCAGAACTAAAACCAAGGTCAACAGTTGGAATCTAAATTTAGCTCTCAGATTTTGCTGATATGGGTGAGGCAGATGGGAATCAAGCTCTCTCCTTCAAGAGGATGACAGCACTTTAAATGCTTGGTTTTGTCTGTGCAGTAAGCAGATGTGGCACAGAAGTTGCCCAGAGTGCAAACATAGGCAGCACCTAAGTGTGGTTTTTACAGTCTCTTTTCTTGCACTTCAGAGCAATGAGTTTTGCAAAGTACATAATCTGCATTTTGATGCAAATTTAAGAGGTAAGGATGTTGACATTTCTGTATGTTAAGTATGGTGCAGCAGCAGATTATAATTCCAGACAGGATGCCCATCTTTGAGAGCAGCTTCTGTGATCCTGCTCTCCAACCCAATGGAGATTAAACGCTTCATCCTCAGAACATTCCCAGTTGTGTGTGTTCTTTATATAAACACCACCACACAATTCACCACCACTGGGAGCATCTATTTGGGAAACATCCAGGACTGGAATAGCAGGGGGTAGTGCAGGTCAGGACTGAAGTGCATTGACAGAGCTGTGTATGGGGAGCTCAGGTCTAGAAAAATAGAAGCTGTTACAGGCCAAGAATGGTGTGTCAGACTAAGAGAATGTGGGGAAAGATTGCACAATACAGGCCTGAAATATGCCTTTCTTTAACCATTCCTACATCATTAGTTCATAGCTTCCCTGAGAAGCACTTCACAGACATCTTAGGGCTGACTGATAATTCTCCACAGGGCAGGCCAAGTAAACAGCCTTGTTGAATGTCTCCTGTGCAACGAATGTCATTCAGGCACCTTTTCCAGTGCTTATGCTCTTTCCCCATGTGCTTTAATGCTAACAGCAATAGAGCAGCCGAAGCACATGGAGATGGAGTGGGAGTGGCAGAAAAAAGACCTTCCACCACTTTTACTCCCTCTTCCCATTGGATTCAACAACCCAAAAGCACATGGGGGAGAGGGAGCAGAAGGGAAAGAACAGAAAGAGAAGGAACAAGAGAGAAATGAGGAAGAGAAGGAACAAAAGAGGAAAAAGGAGAGAGAAGGAATAAAAGGAGAGAGGGAGTAAAGAAGAAAGCTACAAAGAAAAAAAATTACAGAAAAAATGACTGCAATATGGTAGGTGTTTGTTTTCTCTTTTTAGGTTTTGTTTTGTTTGGGAGAGAGGAGGAAGGTACAATCCCTGCTATCATTCCTATTTTCTTCATTTGTCTCCTGCTGCTTCTTTCTACCTTTGTCTCTCTGTCCCTTTGGAAGTGACTGGCACCGGGTCCCTCGGTAACTCTTATCAGACTCTTTGGTCTTTCAGCCAAGTTGTTTGACCAGTTCCCTTGCACAGCATGCGAATTAGCCCATTTTGTACATGCAAACTACGGTGCTCACAAAGTTTCTCCTTTAGAGAAAAGAACTAGTTGGCTTCAGACTAATGGACTGAAATTTCCATTTTCTCTCTCTCTCTCTCTCTCTTTAAAGACAATTCCTCGTCTTTCCAGGAAGATGAAGAGGTAGATATGGAGGCTGTCAACTGGCAGCTGAACAGCACCCCTATGAATGGGCACTCTCCAACCCCAACCACAGCTCGTTTCCCCAGCTGGGTGACTTTTGATGACAATGAAGTAAGCTCTGCTTCCCTCCAGAACCTTTCTCCCTTGAAACCAGACACCCCACCAATAGCAACGCAGACTGCAGATGTGAACTGTAATCTTGCTGCATCCTTTAAGAAGAGGGAGCGCCCCAAGAGCACATTGGTGGACCTCACTAAAGTTCAAAAGCTAGATCTTTCCTCCTTAAGTAGGCTGCCTTCTGTTGGAACACCCTCCTGGAGTGCTACTAATCCCTTCCTGGATGAGTCTCTGAGAGATGTCCAACCCTCACCCATCAACCCGTTCAGCTCATTCTTAGAGGAACGAGATAGGCGTTCCCACAGCTCCTCTCTCTCCAGCGCTCCAGGCCAAAGCCAAAGAGACTCCCTTATTATCCTCTACCAAGAACCTGATACCATCAGCTTTGATGAGTCAAGCAAAAACTTAACCCACACAGATGCTGTCGAGCAGCTCAAGCAGCTCCGGATTGGGGATCCAGATCACCTGAGCAGCCCAACTCTACCTGATGATGACCCCCTGATGCCATTTGAGGTGGATGGCACATTGTTGAACTTGGCTACATCTCAGCCCAAGGATGGCTGGCCAATGATGCTCAGGATACCAGAGAAAAAAAACATCATGTCATCTAGGCATTGGGGGCCAATCTACGTAAAGCTGACTGCAAGCGGGTATCTACAGCTTTTTTATGAGAAGGGACTGGAGAAGCCCTTCAAGGAATTCAAACTTGAGATCAGTCATGAGATTTCAGAGCCCAAGCTCCAAAACTATGATGAGAATGGAAGGATACACAGTGTGCGTATAGACCGCACCATCTACAAGGAGAAAAGGAAGTATCAGCCTAAACCAGCAATCAGCCACGCAGCAGAAAGGGAACAAGTGATAAAGCTAGGCACTACTGATTATGAAGACTTCCTTAGTTTTATCAGCGCAGTTCAGGATATACTAATGGACTTGCCAGCCTCATCAGCAGATCTGAGCACAGTAGGATTAAACTATCAAGAGGAAGAAATCACTGTTGATGTCAAGGATGAGTTTCATGGCATCTTGGCCAAAGGAGACAATAGGATTCTCCAGCATAGCGTGCTGACACATATACATGTTCTCAGCTTCCTTTCTGGCCTCGCAGAATGCAGGCTGGGCCTTAATGACATCCTTATAAAAGGGAATGAAATCGTTGCACGGCAGGATATTATGCCCACCACTACCACTAAGTGGATTAAGTTGTATAACTGCCAGTTTCATTCATGTGTGGACGAGGAAATGTTTAACAGCTCCCACGTTATCCAGTTTAATCCCTTGGATGCCTGCCGATTCGAGCTGATGCGGTTCAGGACTGTGTTTGCTGAGAAGACTTTGCCTTTCACTCTGAGAACAGCAGCCACTGTCAAAGGTGCTGAAGTGGAGGTCCAGAGCTGGCTGATGATGTCCACTGGGTTCTCCTCCAACCGTGACCCTCTAACTCAGGTCCCCTGTGAAAACGTGATGGTCCGCTACCCAGTGCCAAATGAATGGGTGAAAAACTTCCGCAGAGAAAGTGTCCTGGGAGAAAAGTCTTTGAAAGCCAAGGTGAACAAGGGTGCCAGTTTTGGATCAACCAGCGTGTCTGGTTCTGAGCCAGTAATGAGAGTAACTTTGGGAACTGCCAAATATGAGCATGCCTTTAATTCCATTGTATGGAGGATAAACCGACTGCCTGACAAAAACTCAGGTGAGTAGAGAGTACTGTGTCTGAGTGGAGAAACTTAAAGGAAAGGTATATTTTGGGGGCTGGGGGACATTGGCGTTACATGGTTCAGTGGATAAACCATTGTCCTTTTGGAAGGTTCAAAGGGGCATCAGTTGCATGAAATGGCTGGTTGTCTTACTCATCTTAACAGTGGTTTAATGTGTCTCATAAAGAAACACTGTTTTTGACAAAACCATTTTGGTGTAGCCACATGCAAATATGCCTTCCAACCATGGTTTTATCGGTGCATTCTGGGACTCTTGCCTAAGCTTTCCCATAATGCACTACACTGTTTCTGAGAACAGGTACTTTTTGGGTAACTTCCAAATGTAAGGCACTGTATTGTGTAATATCAGGGGGACCAGCTGAATCACTGTAGCTCCAGCCCTTGTGACTTCCTATCCACAATGTTGTAAATTGCACTGGTTCATCAAGACCTGAGACAAAGATCTCATTGCATGTGTTGCAACCAGCGCTCATACATGTACCAGGTATGGCAGTTGTGTGTGGACATAGGGCACTGTGTATACATTACAAGCTAAAAGTATTCCATGCAACAACTTGTGGCTACATCTTTCAACTAGTGTGGACAGGGACTAAGACCTGATTTAACATTTAAAGGGACACTGTCAAGGTAAATCATATAACTTAAAAAACCTGTCCTGCCCTGGATTTTTATAGTTATACCTTTAATTATTAACATTCAAGTAATCTGCAAAATCTAATTTACTTTTTACCACTATTACCATTTGTTCACTTTCTGCCCTTCACCCAGCTTGGGCAGTGAAATTTGACCATCTAGTTTACTTTCTGTTTACAGTGAATTACCCTTTCTGGTTCCCATGCCCTTGGCTAATGCAATTCTTTGCATAAACACTGTTTAAAACACTGACTTGTTCCTGTAGCTGCCTCACTGGGCAGGTTCCTGCATGTACTTTTTCCCTACAAGAGAAGTTCCATGATGCTCCAGACTTGGTCCTTTCTGAGAACATCTGTTCTCATTTGGCAGGAAGGAAGGAAAGCATTGAACCAGGTGCTTCTCACCTTTTGGATCACTTTTTAGCTCAATAAGGAATCCACCACAGAGTACAAACCTGGAGAGACATCACTCTGACAACAAATGAGGCTTGGAGAGTTTACTTTGGAGGAGAGACTAGAAGCGAAGAGTAGGGGGAATAAAAAGAAACATCAGGATGAAAGGCTAATCTCATGTCAATAGCAGCATCCCTGGAAAAAGCCATACTATCAGCCTGACCCTAAACACACATAATTATGTGCTTGCTAGGAAAATCCCACTGTGCTGCCTGCATGACCCTTCAGGTCAGGGGATGAAGTTCAGTGACAATTCTTCTTCTCTGGTACCGTCCATCTGAGGATCTCAGTGTGCTTTACAGACATTACAGGGGGGGAAACTGAAGCCCACAGAGATTAAGCATATGTCTGCGCTTCAAGATGGAAGGTGCAATTTCCAGCTCAAGTTGACATACCCCTGCTAGCTCTGATCAAGCTAGCATGCTAAAAATAGAGTGTACCCCTGGCAGCGGGAGGGGCTAGCTGCCCCAAGTACATAAACATCCAAGGTGTTAGGCAAGTACTCAGGGCTGCTATCCCTCACACCACCACAACTATGCTCTATTTTTAGTGCACTAGCTCAGTCATTAGCCCAGTCATGTGTCCCTGAGCTGGAATTTACACCTCCAGTTCAAAGTATAGACATAACCTTAAGTGACTTGTCTAAATTTACACAGCATGTCATTAGCAGAATGCTCACAGATTCCAGAATTCTTGACTCTTTTGCCTGCTCAAACCATTAGTGATGCTCCCTTACCCACTTTCACCTTATGTGAAATGTTAACCCAAGTCTCCAGTTCTTTGTCTTTGTCTCTGTCTGTAACCTTACATCGGCCTCCCAGCAGGGGAGGATGAAGCTGAAATGCAGTCCCTGCTGTTGGAGAGTCTTCCCACACAGTACTGAGCAGTAGTGACACATGGGTGCTAACTGACTGTCTGATACACCTGGGAGGAGGAGGAGTGCCCTGGCTGCAAACAGCCCCTCCTGTCAGGTCACATTGTGATTTGAGGGAAAGGAAAGGGGAGCAAGCATTATGGCATGGCCACTGTATCTATGGGAGGTGATGTGGGCGGGAATCCTAAAGTATTGGTGGAGGTACACCTCTACCCCGATATAACGCCACCCGATGTAACACCAATTCGGATATAATGCGGTAAAGCAGCGCTCCGGGGGGGCGGGACTGCGCACTCCAGCGGATCAAAGCAAGTTCGATATAACGCAGTAAGATTTTTTGGCTCCCGAGGACAGCGTTATATCAGGGTAGGGGTGTATATTTCTTGACAGCACTTATCCCATGGCTCTAGATCAGGGGTAGGCAACCTATGGCATGCATGCCAAAGGCGGCGCGCAAGCTGATTTTCAGTGGCACTCACACTGCCCGGGTCCTGGCAGTTGGCAGAGGCCCTTAGATTGCAAGTTTTTCACAGCAGGGACCACGTTTGTTTTCTCTCAAGTGCATCAGTGGCATTCTATAAACAATCAAACACTAGTTCAAATAAATGAACATTATGTTTGTTGTGATAGTTAAAGACCTTCCTTATTTGTCCTGTTGCCAGACAAGTAGGTTCAATGTTTAGTTTCATTCTCATGATGTTACGCAGTGTCCGAGTTTTTTTGTATTATAGGTGGGGTTAGTTGCACCACCTATCATTTAGGTTGCTTGACATTTTTACATGCCAGGCGTCTTCCTCTGACTTTTTTTTTTTTTTTTTAAACTTCAGCCAGAGAGGAATCAGAGAAAGAGGCTAGGGACTCATCCATTGTTTAGCCTATGTTAAAAAATTATTGAGATCTTTCCTCTGAAATGCTCTAGTGACCCCCATGCTTTGAAGCAGGGATTTCAAAGTTGGCAGGGGGTGGTCTTTGTATCAGGGATGTGCCATTTACCATTCATGTGAAAATTCACCATCCTTCCAGATGGTTCAGCATGCTCTGCTCTCTCTGGCCAGACAGTTCCACTGGCCTTTGGAGGTGTGGATGTAATGCTGTCTCCTATCCACGTTCGTCTCCCTTTCTGGGGAGTTTCTGCTGACAGGGGTTTTAGGAGAATACAGTCTCTGTGCTTAAGGGAGACCGTAATTGTACCCAGCCACAACATATACAATGTTGGGAAAGATTCCTTGTCCCCCCTCCCCTTGTGCATCCATGCTGTAGTCAGACACAGCTTGGTCCTTAACCTCTCTGTGCTTCAGTTCCCCCCACCCCAAACAGGAATACTTCCTTACCTCACAGTGATGGTCTGTGGATTAAATACAGATAATGGGTAAATTTTTCAAAGCATCTAAGTCCTGTTTTCAAAAGTCAATGGGACTTAGCCTCGTAAGTGACAAAAGGCCCAGATTTTTAAATGTATTTACATATTATTTTTGAAAATGGTACTTAGGGTATGTGTCTACACTGCAATAGGGAGGTGTGTTTGCAGCCAGTGTAGGCATACCTGAGCTAGTTTGTCAAAGCTAGCTCGAGTAACAATAGCAGTGAAGCCGCAGCAGCACCAGCACTTGAGTATGTACTCAGGGTCCAAGCGGGGCTATCTCTTGCAACCGATCATGCTGCCACAGCTTCACTGCTACTGTTACTTGAGCTAGCTGTGATCTATCTGGATCAGAGCTAGTTTGGATATGTCTACACTAGCTACAATCACACCTGTGGATTGTAATGTAGACATGCCCATAGGCTACATCTACACTGCAGCTGGGAGGTGTAGTTCCCCTCTCAGCTAGATGTATATGCACTACTCTGTTCAAACTAGTGTACTAAAAGTAGCAGTGTGGCCACGGTGGCACAAGCAGCAGCTCGGGCTCACCGTCCAAGTACATACCTGGGATCTTGGACAGGGTGGTACTTAGGCAGTTAGCCCAAGCTGCCACAACTACACTGCTATTTTTAGCACACTAACACAAGCACAGCGCACCGATCTGGGAATCACACCTCTCAGCTGCAGTGTAGATGTAGCCAGAGTCTCCTAAGTCATTTAGATGTTTTTTAAAAATTGTCTGCAAAGTGTTTTGAAGATGAAAAGCCAGAATTAAAGTTCAGCGGTGTTTAAATTATTTATTTTAAGTCCATTTATTGGAAAAAATAAAGTCATATTCTCCTTTTCTTTGCAACACAAGGAACAAATGAGTACCATATTATTTTAACATTTTGGGGGGTTCTTTGTGCTCTTTTAAATTAAACCTTTTCCTCCTCCTCCTGAAGCATGTCCTTTGATAGGCTCTTGACTTAATATACATGGAGAAGGCACAGCCCTTAAACCTTGTGCTCAGGATGTAGTCAACTGGAGTTTTCTTGGAAACCTGCTTCCAGTTGCTTTTCCATTATGGAAGAGCAAAGCCATTCTGGGTCCTTGAACCCCATAAGGATCCTTGAACCTTGACCCAAAACTTCCGTCAAGGCATATTTGAAGTCTGTAAAAGTTCAGTTAACACCCTTGTTCTTCATTGTTTTTCATCTATGCACACCCCCGTCCAACTGAAGATGGGAACACCAGTGCATTCTGAAGAACCTGTTTGTGCAGTATTTACTGTACGTTTATGCAGTCCTTAGCACAATGGGACCCCAACCTGGCTGAAGTAACATAAAATATTTATTATTATTATTGTTTATTATTTATTAATAATAATGATGATGATGTTATTTCTGGCTTGACCAGAAGCAGCATTTACCTTAAACTTCATTAGGAAGCCTTTGTGCATGATTGAGTAGTGTTTGTGCAGTGCTTTGAAAATACCAAATGCTCTGTGGATGGAATTCACCCCTCTGATGAGGGACTTGCACAAGGCCTATAAATCCCATTTAAGCTCTATTTTGAGGGCTGAAGTGAGACTCAGAGGTGCTTAGGCATTGTCCAGTGCTGGCTCTCTGCACAGGAGTGAATTTCACCCTGTCAGTGCTAAGAGTTAGTACTATCATTGAAGATACCCTTCCTTGCTTTGCAGGCTCAGTGGGCTGGATATTTTGGAATAAACTCTGGGTGTGCTCATTGTTTGGGTAGTTGTCTGAACTGCTGGTCTTCCAGGGCCCAATCCTGCAAGCCCATCACGTATGGTACTCCCATTCTGCTCCATGTGGAGGGCTTTCAGGCTTCTTTCCACTCTTACTTCACAAACCCAATCTCCTGTATTCCTTTTTAGCTTCTCAGTGTGCATCTTGATCACCTGTATAAAAGGCAAATGCTCCCATAGTGATTGCAAAATGGATGGTTAGAAATTAAACATCACCATGCACAACCAGGTGGCCAGAGTCTTGTTGTGTCATGCATGGATTTGTTTTACTTAGACAAATGTAAGAATAATAATCATGCTTAGGATCAATCTAACACCCTTCAGCCAAGGTTCTCAAAGTGCTTTTGAAAGATACTATCCTCATTTTGCAGATGGAAAAATTGAGGCATAAAGAGGTTAAGTGACTTGCCCAAGGTCACAGTGAGTTGATGACAGGCAGGAATAGAACCCGTATGTCCTGATGGTCAGCCTGTGCTCTAATGACTAGACCACGCTGCTTTCCAACATGGCAGAGGGGACAGAAAACAAAATGTAATGCTCACAGATCACTACAATTTTAAACTATCACTTACATTGCCCTTTTTAAGGAGTGAGTATTGTGTACGGGGATGGAATAATGAACTAGAAGTTGGAATTCCTGGGTTCTGTTCCTAGCTTTGCCATTGACTTGCTGTGTGACCTTAAAGAAATCATTTAATTTTTTTTATTTTGTTTTCCTATCTATAAAATGGTTATAATATCTAGCTGAAAGGCCAATGTGATCCTCAGATGAAAGACATCATTGGACTGTGTACTGCAAGATCCTGCCTTTGGCTGTGCCCAATACCTGATGCGTCAGAGGAAGTAAAAAACTGCCCAGAGTACGGGGATGTTAGTTGGCGGCTCCTTCATGGAGCCGTGAGCACGGGCATGTACTTGGCGCGGTTTACCCCTGTCCCTGACACCTGTCCTTTCTGCGGCGTGAGGGAGACCCTGGCTCACGTTTACTTAGAGTGTGCCAGGTTGCAGCCCCTACACCGGCTCCTCACCGACATTCTGTTGCGTTTTTGGTTACACTTTTCCCCTCACCTTCTCATTTATGCACTCCCTATCCGTGGCCCCACAAAGTCGCGGGACCTCCTGGTCAACTTCCTCTTGGCCCTGGCTAAACAGGCCATCTATAAAACCAGGGAGAGGAGGTTGGCCGATGGAGGTTCCTGTGACTGTGGGGCCTGTTTCCGATCCTCTGTCCGTTCACGTATCCGGGCAGAGTTCCTCTGGGCGGCGTCCACTGGCTCCCTTGACACCTTTGAGGAGCAGTGGGCGCTGTCCAGGGTTCTCTGCTCGGTGTCCCCGTCAGGTTCCCTTCTTTTGCCCCTTTAATCGCACTCCTGTCCCTGTTTTTACATTAGTTGTCCCCCATAATCATTTGGGTTTTAGGTCCTGTGGGTCCTCCCCTTAGGCTGAGGGGGGATTCTTTAGCAGTGTGCCGGCTTCGCCCGCCCACTTCCCGGAACCCAATAGGTACACTAGTGCTGTACATGGAAATAGGTTGGAGAATTCCTTCCTGATCCCTGTGGTGACTGGTTTATACCCAGAATTCTCATTCACTGAAGCCACTCTAGAATGATCAACTATCATCCCTGCAGCTTGTTTACTTTAGTCATCTCTGGAAGCTCCAGCTGCACTGTAGCTATTATGACTTCATAACTTACTCAGGCAGATTCTCTGTTTACCCCTGTTTTAAGATGCTTCTTCCTAGGTGTTGTCCTTGTTAATCTTCACAACAGTTTTAAGTTTCATTTTCTCTCTCTTCCCAGCTTCCGGCCATCCCCACTGCTTTTTTTGCCACCTGGAGCTTGGCTCTGACCGGGAAGTGCCTTCCAGTTTCGTCCGCTATGTGGATGTGGAGTTTGACATGCCCACCACTTCGGCGTCCAAAGCCACTGTTCGGTCCATTTCTGTAGAGGACAAGAGTGATGTCAGGAAATGGGTCAACTATTCAGCACACTATAGTTACAAGGTAAAGTGAGCAGCCGGCAGACACTGCGGCTAGCATAGCTGTTGCATGACTCATTTTTCTTTAGATATATTTAATGCTGGTGAAAGAGATGATTTATCAAGGTGACACAGAGTCAGAGGTGGGAGCAGAACTCTTGACTCCCAGCCCTGTGCTTAGACAATCCTAACTCATCGCGCTTTGAATTCCTGTATCCATCGCTGCCAAACAAGTAACTGTTGAGCGACACAAGGTTTCCCCATGCTTTTCTGTAGGAGTAGTACACACCTTTCTTTCTAGCTTCAGCAATTTTGCAGGTATTCTAGTCAAAAGTAAATATTTCAGTACTGTTAAATTGTGATGGGCTAATTCCTGAACTGGCATAAATCAGCATAGCGCTATTTGTTTCAGTGGAACTACACCAATGTGCACCAGCTAAAGATGTAGGGTAAAATCTTCAAAAATGCCTAAGTCCTGTTTTAGATATGACTTTCAATGAGACGTAGGCTCCTAAAGGCCAGATTTTTAAAGGTATTTTGGCACCTAAGTATAATTGGTCAGGAATTTCTCAACACTTTTTTCTTTCTTTTCTTTTGGGGGTGGGGAGCGAAAAGGGGGCAGATTTGTCAAAACCAAAATTTTTTGTGGAAACGGACCAGTTTTGACAAATCTTTTGTCTGGGAGTTTTCATGGGTCTAGGATGGAATTTCTGGTCAAAACTAGGAGAGATTCCAAAATAACCAATAGCCTGATTCAGAGGGACTTAGAACCTGGGTTTTCCGCACCCCAGGCAACTGCCATAACCACTGACCTATAGAGTCAGAATGTGTTTGTCTCTGTTTCAAAGTAGGGAGGGACTAGAGCTTCCCGATTAAATGTCTGTAAGACTTTTTGATATGGGCAAAACAACATATTTTTTCTATAACCTTGTTTTCAGAAACGATGGAACCATTTTTGCTGAAATTTTCTACAACAAATTCAGCCTGAGGCAGATACTTGGCATGTAAAATTTCAGACAAAATGGTTAAATTTAGGCAAAGTTGCTAGCAGCTGAAAACAGGGTTCTATAATGGAAAATGTTGGACAACCTTAACTAAGGTGGTGCTACCAGCTCTGCCTGTAATAAGCCAAGATGGAGTAGAAAGATCCTGGTCTCTATCATCACTCCTTCTGGGAACCTAAGGGAATGGACAGCTACAGTCTTGGGCATGCAGGACTTTACTACTGTTTTACATCATTTTGCTGGTGCCAGTGTTTGGTAAATCAGAAATACTTAGAGAGCAGGCTGTGGTATGCCACAGAATTAGGTTTTCAAACACGTTTTAAAAGGGCTTTCTTCTCCCAAGGGTGTTCAGCCCAGCATGTTGACTTTATTTATGACTATGCAGAGATTGAGTGTTTATACACACATGGATCTGAACTGTTTTTATTTTACTCTTGAATGTTTTTAGTGTGTTAAACTGTATATGTTTCATTGTAAAATTTCTGGGATACTGTTGTAGATTGGTGCTATTTAGAAATACAGTTACTGTTATTAATTAACAATATCAGATATGATCAAAACAAGAATCTCTAATCTAAATCCCTTTAAATTTCAGGGAGGCTTGAATTCAGATCTTATGATCAAAGTCTTCTGCAATTTTAGATTGTGGGTTTGGATCTAAAACCAGAAGGGGGATGATACCAGTATCAGTTTGACTGTATCCAAAGTCACTCACGGACAGTTCTTTTCATGACGTTTTGATCCCAAGTTGTGAGAAATTGTACAAAATTGCTGTCAGTTTGGATGAAACCACTGAGATCTGCTCAAAAGATTGAAGCATTGTTCAGTCTCTAAACTCTAGCCCTCATGTGACCTCAAACCTGAAATTGAAAACCCTGTACTAAACTTAATCCAGATCCAGAGCCCCATCCTCAGCCCATATCTAATTATAACCTGTGGTTGAGAGCAAGTAATTTCCCAGCCTCTGTGATAATCCAGAAGTTTGTGGCCTGAGAAGAACATAAAATCAGAAGCTGGTTAGAACTTCTTGTTCTTTTCTTTCCTTTTTCAATACAGATGTTTCCCCTCTTTTCTTTCTTGTCAGGTGGAAATAGAACAGAAAAAGAACTTGAATCTTGATCTGAAGGGAGCAGAAATTGAAAATCCCAAGGAATGTGCCATGCAGTGAAGGAAGACTTGTCTGCAAGACCCATGGGAGGAGCAGTAATGTCAATGGACCCAGCTGAAGAGAACTGCAACACATAGCTTCTGCTGTAAGAAGTACAAAGCAGTACTTTTTTTAAAAAATGCTCTTTAGTGTGACTGTGTCTTGAGTTTCCTGGCTCACTATGATCTGTATTTTGGCAGGAGGTTCATTGACGGTTTATTTAGAAGAGCTTAGGGATTTGCTGGAACATTTTAAATTCATCCAATGTATTGACAGAAAGACTTACACTACATTCAAGCCTGCCTTCCTTTCTGCTTCTTCACCATTTACCTTTCTGCACTGAAGTATGTTATGTCGACAACTACAGCCAAAACAAAAAGCAACCCTGACCTCGCTTACAGTCTTCTCCTATCATTTGAATGTTTTCTTGTAAACTGGTGGTTTGGTCATCAGCAAAGCCTTTCCTTGTGATCTGCAGAATAAAACCTTTTGAGAGCTAAGCAATGGGGGAACTGGGGAACAGCAAGGGGAAAAGTGGTGCATGAAAAGGTCTTTCTTTTATGAAATAGTCAACAGAATAAAAATTTCCCTACATCCAGAACATAGTGAACACCAAGGAAATAAACAACAAATAATATAGCTGATTATCTGACTCTTCCCAATCATCTTTTCTTATCTCATCCTCTAAACCCAAACACTAAAGTAATGCACATTTTAATAGGATCTTGACTAGTCATGAGAAAAATTCATTTGTTCTTAAGGTTTTCACTTGCTGGTCAGGTTTATGCCATTAGCTTGATTGAACATGTGATAGCTGCTTTTAATAGAAAGTGTGCAGTGGATAGCAGGGATAGAGCAGGGGCATTACTGAGGCCTGGTCTACACTAACCCCCCAAGTCGAAGTAAGGTACGCAACTTCAGCTACGTGAATAACATAGCTGAAGTCAACATACCTTACTTCGAACTTACCGCGGTTCAGACGCGGTCCACACGCGGCAGGCAGGCTCCCCCATCGACTCCGCGGTACTCCTCTCGTTGAGCTGGAGTACCGCAGTCGACGGCGAGCACTTCCTGGTTCGATTTATCGCGTCCAGACCAGACGCGATAAATCGAACCCGGAAGTTCGATTTCCAGCCGCCGAACTAGCGGCTAAGTATAGACCAGCCCTGAGATTAGATCATTCCTGCCTAGAAAGATATCTGAGGGAAATAGATTTTATTTTAACATTTTCCTGCATGGTTAAGTAGAGTGGTTACTGGTTCATGTTGTTTGGACAGGAGGAGTTTGTGTTCTCGATACTTTGGAAGTCATTATAAGAAGTAAATGTTGTGTGTTCCTGTCCTTGCAATACAATGTTGCTTTCAGGTTTCATCCTAACAGCAGGGCCGGCTCCAGGCACCAGCTGAGCAAGCTGGTGCTTGGGGCGGCAGATTGTTCGAGGCGGCATTCTGCCCAATCCTAGGGCGGCACGGCCGCTTTTTTTAATTATTATTTGTTTATTTTTTGTCCCTGTAGGGGGCGGTGGCGCGGAGAACCAGAGTGCCCTGCAGGGCAGTCCTCTTCCTTCCCTCCCCGCCGACCGGAGCGGAGCCCTCGCGGCAGGAGGCGGCGCAGCGGGAGGGGCCGTGTGGCAGCGCCCCCTTTGTAGCCCTGGCCGCCCCCTTCTCTCTCTCTCCCGCCCGCTCCCTGCACCCGCGCTCTGGCCACGCCATAGGCTTTTTTTTTTTTTTTTTTTTGCTTTGCCGTACTGGCCGCCCCGTTTTTTTGTTTTTGTTTTGCTTGGGGCAGCCAAAAAGCCAGAGCCGGCCCTGCCTAACAGTACTTCCTAATCCAAGAAAGCCTACAGTGTAACAAATGTGTGTACTATAGACACAATTATCTTTTCAATCACACACTAACTGGGACTAAAAGCCTCTAAAAACACCTCTATCACAGTGAACTAAGGAAACCTCCTCTTAGCTGAAAGTAGTAGCAAGTCCCTCCCTTATCTTTTTCCTAGACCAGACTGTAGAAGGCAAAATCACTCATTCAATACACATTGCAGTTGAGTTGTAAAATGTTTACAATACCTAATTTTTACAGTTGTGTATCTAACCTGTTTGCTCCCCTGCCCAAAAGTAATAGTTTTTGATAAAAGAATAGTAATTTGTTAAATCATTTATCTTTTTAAAGGGATACTGTTGACTTAAATATCATACATTTTAAAAAATCCTTATGGTATTATTAACAACATGCTAATTCATTAAAACAGAGCGACTTTTAAAATTCTAAATTTATTTTTCATTATTTGTGCGCTTTTTACATTTTGCATTTCACTAAGTGTGGGTCATGGAAAATAGACTTTCATTTTGGTCCCTGGTTACTTTCACTGTCATTTCCATGAACAGTGTTGCTGTGTTCAGGTTCCAAATGCCACACGGGATTATTTACATTTGGACTAAAAATTGTTTTCATTAATTTTTTTTAAAAAATCATGAGACCCCTTCTAAGGCCCTCTTTTTATATGCACCTAAATTTTAAGCCTAGAGTAATCTGATGATGTCCTTTTAAAATCAAAATTAAAAAAGAAAGGCTCATCTTTTTCTTTAGGTAGCAATAAGGCTACAGCATCTATGGCAAAAGAACATTTTTAAAAAAATAATTCAGGGCCCGATCATTCAAAGACTTATTACTAGGCATGGAGCTTTCAACTGCAGGTAGTCCTAGTGAAGCCCAAGGGTCAGCTCCAAGCACTTCGTTTCATAGTAAGTATTTGCAGGATCTATCTGTAAATGGAAACACTTATACCCACCTTTGTAAAGCATTTAGGGAGCTGTGGATAAAAAGCACTTTTGAAGTGCTAAGTATTTATGACATAGGGTTGCATAAAGTTAGAGAGATATGCCTGAAACATCCAAACAGTCCCTGACACTGGGGTGAAGGAAGATTCAAAATCTGAACCCATATCCAAATTTCTTGATTGACCCTTACACTGGGCTGGCTAGGAACTTTGTGGCTCAGGTCCATCTCTGTATAAAATAAGAATTTCCTCCCACTGTTCCTAAAACTCAAAACAAACTGTTGTTCAAAAAAGTTTAGATAACTTTTGTTCCCCTTATTTTCTATTTTCACTGTTGTCTCTAGAACTCCAGTTTCTGGTAGGGTGACCAGATGTCCCAATTTTATAGGGACAGTCCAGATATTCGGGGCTTTGTCTTATATAAGTGCCTATTACCCCACACCGCTGTCCCAATTTTTCACACTTGCTATCTAGTCATCCTAGTTTCTGGTAAGACCCAGAAAGAGAAGTAACAAAATACAAGAAGTGAATGTGTTCTCAGGATGTTATTGAGGAACTATCGGAAAGCTCATGTGAAAGAGGCTGTTCTTATTAAATTTCTAGCCCAGATTTGCAGACCCAAGAGGTTTGGCTACCTTAGATCAGTATATGAACTTTTGCATGCTTTCCCCAACCTCTGAACATTTGGAAATGCATCCTAGTGACAGTTAAATATAAGAAATAATTAAGCAACAAGATTTGACAGGCCTTGAACAGAGAGGGAACTTGAACACAGTTCCCCTTCTCTATTTTATTTTAAGAAATTTAGCATGTATGGAAGCCCAGCCACAGGACAGATACTTTCCAACAAGTGGGATGATGGAGACTCAGAGGTTTCTGTTCTTGCTTCATTTCTCTCTCTCTCTCTCGCTCTCTCTTTTTAATTCAAAATAAATTAATGAAACTAAGACCATAAGACTGATTCTGATCTCACTCATACCGGTGTAACTCAGGAGTAGCTCCTCAGAAGCCAATTGGAGTTCAGTGGATGAAATTGGGTCGTCTATTCTTGGAAAAACTATTTTAATCCCCATTTGATTTCGGCAGAGCATCCTTGATACTTTTATATTTATGCAGTCAGATTTTCCAGAGTTCAGCACCAACTATCAAAGCCAGATTTTCAAAGCAACTTGCCTCCCTATTAGGCACCAGAATAAATGGCCAGATTTTCAAAAGAGCAGTGAGTGCTGGACTCTTTTGAAAATCTGGATATAAGTGTTGCAAACTGGGGGGCTACTAGATGGTGGGAACTCTTTAAAATCTAGCCTGAGGGCTGAGCACTTGAACATCTGGCCTTTAGTGCCTTCAGAGGGCTACACTGTCCTTGTGTGATGTGGCCAGGGTCAGCTTTCCTCAATGGCAGTCTGTCTTTCTATCTCATTCTTTCTGCTAGTGCGCAGTTATGCATGGACCATGTTCTCCATTCACAGGGCACACAGCAGTAATTAGGATAAAGTACTGGTTGGGTAGGGGAAAAAAATCAAAAATTTCATCAGACCTTAGAACAGCAGAAAGGATTTAGACACAAGAGGTTTGTATGATAGGAATAATTATTCCACCTCTGGGAAGAGGTCCCTTTAAATGCCTTCTATTAGGCACACCCTTTGTGGGTGACACAATCTCTGCCCTTTGATCTCCCTTTGAAGTGCTTATAGTTCTGGAGTGCAACATGCAAAAAAAGTGCCTTCAGTGCACCTGTACATTTATTTCCTGAAGCTATTTCCACTCTGACCCTCCTGTTTTCTTTTTCAGTTTCATTTTTGGAGAGTAGTGGTACTTGGGGTGCAGTGTGGTTGCTAACGTTTTTTTGGGGAAAATCCACACCAGGTTTTAGAGAAACAGACAACATTTGATCAGCGTGATTGGAGACTAAAGTCCTCCCCTCCTCTTACTCTTACTGATACATATTATATTTAATAACTCTAGATATTGTGCTGATAAGAACAAAGGAAAAAAGGCAAATTCATCTGAAAAATACTCCCAACAGATTGACGATACCTGCTGCATTTGAAAGTTATTCAAAATTAAAATGATAATCCCCACTAAAGACTGGGGAAATTTTAGGGCTCTTCACTGCATGCATTGTCATCTGAGCAGTGCTGAGATATCATATCATCGTGACATACATTATCTTCTGGCAGGGAGCTGGCTGGAATACCTACTTGACCAAGACTTAAAGGAGCCACATGTCCTCTTGACTCACGAGCTGCCAAGAGTCCCTCCTGATTACCTCACTACTGATGAAAGGATCAATTTCATTGCAAAAGGTCCTGAAAGTGAAAGAAGGGGCACCAGAACCAGTAAAGTCCATCTCTGGAGCCCAATTACTCTGTCAGTTGCTTGCAGGAAACTCTCATTGATTTCAGTGGCACTTAGCATACAGTGGCACTTGGCCCTGATGTGTTACCTTTATTCTAGAGGTTGGCAGATTTTAAAAGATGATACTGCCTAGGTCAGCCTTTACAGATTTAGCCTACATGGTTTTCATCAGTCTAGGAATTAACAGAAGCCACTGATCAGTTGTTGAAGAAATACACACCATCTGCTGCCATTTAGCCTAAAGCAACCTGCTGTGAGCTTTGAAGCCTTCTGGGACAACAAAATTTAAGTTGTTCCTAACCTTCCTTATGCCTCATCCATCCACACAATTCAGAACCTCTTGCACTATTGTGATGGACTGATCTGATTATTTTGTAACATGTTCCTTTCTTTTTGTTTTGTAAAATAGGAAAGTCTACACACTGGCTAACTCTGTAGAGGTGGTTTAATGATGTTGTGATGTTGTTGGTTTTTTTAGCAGCTCTGGAGTGGGATATAATTTTTGTTTGAACTGTGGGAAAACTGTTAAATAAATGTAAACACAAAACAAAATCCTCACATTTTGATGGTGAAATTGAACTTGTGTCCTGTATCCTCCATATCCTGTTGCTCTGAGCACACTGTGCTATCAACCAAGGGCTCCCTCTAGGAGAACTGTTTTGAGAGGTACAAGAGGAGACATAACCTGGAAATAATGGGGTGATACAAAGAAAGGGAATATTTCAGCTG